GCTTTTCTGCCAATACTATGCTGTTTTTATTATTGTTACTTTGTAATACAATTTGAAGTCAGGGAGTGTAATACCTCTAGCTTTGTTCTTTTTTTCTCAGCATTGCTTTAGCTATTCAGGGTATTTTGTAGTTCTCTACGACTGATGATTTTTTTTCTGTTGTTTTAGAACGTGACATTAGGTTTTGATGGGGAGTGCATTAAATCTGTATATTGCTTTGGGTAACATGGCCATTTTAACTGTGTTGATTCTTCCAATCCACGAACAGAATATCTTCCCATTTCTTTGTGTCTCCTTCAATTTTTTTAAATAATGTCTTGTAGTTTTCAGTGCATAGATCCTTCACATCCTTTGTTAAGTTTATATTTCTAGGTATTTTATTCTTTTTGTTGCAGTTGCAAAAGGAATTGTTGCTTTTTTTTCATTTCGTTTTTGAAGTTTCATTGTTAGTATATAGGAACGCAATGGATTTTTGTACATTGATTTTGTATCCTGCAACTGTATTTGTTCATTGTTTCTAATAGTCTTTTTATTTTTTAATAGAGTCTTTAGGTTTTTCTATATAAAGAATTATGTTGTCTGCAAAAAGTGAGTTTGACTTCTTCGTTCCCAATTTGGATGTCTTTTATTTTTCTCTTGCTTGATTGCTCTGGCTAGGACTTTCAGTTTTGTTCTTTTTTAAGGTAAATATTCCATTGTATGTCTGTACTACATTTTGTTTATCCACTCATTTGTTGATGGACAGTAGGATGTTTCCACCTTTTGACTGTTATGAATGATGCAGCTATGAATACTGGTGTAAAAATATATGTTCCAGGCCCTGCATTTACTTTGTTTGGTTATGTATCCAGAAGTAGAGTTGCTGGTGTTTAATATTTTGAGGAACTTCCATATGACTTTGGTTTTAGTAAAACTGTATTTGAGGTGGTGGAAAGTCTAGCAGTTAGGACTGGCATATGAGTGAAAGCAACTGTTGCCAGAGATTTTACTTCAAGGAACTTGAAAGACACGATGACTGAAGAGGAGAACATGAATTAATTTAGAGGAAAGGAAGGAAAAGAATTGAGCCAAGGACTGCATCTTAAGAGGAAGAAGGAGCTATAGGACCTAGTTGATGAAACAGAAAAAGAGCTGTTGGAGTTAGGAACAGAACCTGAGTGTTGATACCCACTTAGCTCAAACTCATCCATGTTCACTGAGCACTCTTAGGAGAACTTCCTTTCAGATGAATAAGCTTCTATTTAAGTATGAATTACTTTCAAGTGTTCATGTGTTATAGGTCACAGATCACTACTGAGTGTTGAATTTCTGAGAGACAGAGACTTTTCAAAAAGGTTCTAGAAGCACCTAAAAAAAAGCAGAAGATTTCTAAATTCCTTATTTGGCTGTTTTGTGTTAATAATTTCACAGTTACTTTTCTTTAACTTTTTGTTGCAGTGTGACATACCTTAGAAAAGTGAATAAACCATATGTGGACAACTTGATGAATTCTCATATGTTGCATATACCTGAGTATCCAACACCCAGATCAACAGAATATTTTTCACACCCAGTGGTTCCCTTTTTGTCTCCGCTCACTCACGCACTATCCCCATTATTGTGATTTCTAATACCACAGGTTTATTGTACTTGCGTTGAACCTTTTATAAGTGGACATGTAGCGTGTAGTCTTTATGTACAACTTTTTTCATTTAATACTATGTTTGAGAAATTTATCCATACATTTGCATGTTGTTGTAGTATATATTCCACTATGTGCTTTTACACAATTAACTTATTCATTCTCAAGTTGATAAATATTTTGGTAGTTTCCAGTTTGCGGCTATTATGAATAGTACTGCTATGAATGTCACAATTTCTTATTAAATAGGTATTTTACTTGTTATGTTCACCTCTTTAAAGATGTCATTGATTATTTCATATAAGTGCTTTTCCTCCTAAATGCCTTTCCACTCTACCTAATTACTTTTGGTGTTAATACAAAACATTATTTGCCTAAACATTAGTTTTGAAAGTATAAAGTATAAAGTTCCACAAGAAATTAGGTTTCTTAATAAATTGTATGTACTTGCATTAACATTTTCCTTTTAAAGCATTTATTTTAATTTTACTCAACTATCCAGATTATGTGTCTTAAGTGCATGTTGAACCTGCCAAAATTTCTTATCTCTTCATGGGCTGAATTGTTCAACCTTTTAATTTTGGCACAGATTTTAATTTTGGCAACAGGATGAACTGAAGAAAAAGAAAAACTTCAATATTCTTGATGCAGATTTGTTATCAAACTTAATAATTTACATAGCAATAAAAGGAGATTGAGAATTAGCAAAAAAGTACATTGTGATATTTTATATTATTTTTCTCTTTAGGTTAGTCTGCTTTTATATAAAAATCAACATTACTAATTTAAAATAAATGAAAATTTTATCAATCTGGCTATTTCAGAATTGAGTTGAAATTTGCTATGTTTATTAAAGATACATACATACATAATATATTTGATATAGTTGTATGGAGATATATATGTCCATATATATATATTTGTCTACCTACCTGTCTGTCTGTCTTTTCATCCATCCATCCATCCATCCATCCATGTACATACTCACTGGAGCATTCTTTACAGAAAGAATAATAGAAGACCATGAACTGGTGGTTGAAGTGCTATCTAATTGGGGAATGGAAGAAGAAAATAAGCTATACTTTAGAAAAAATTATGCCAAATATGAATTCTTTAAAAACCCAATGGTAAGTGAAATCCCCATTAATAGTTATGGAAAATAAATGAAATAGTTAAATTCATTTTATGTGAAGAAGAGTTACTATAAATAAAATACAATTCCTTATTTTATAAATTGTAGGTAAAAATTCTGGTTCTGTACAATTATAGTCTCATTTCTTCTTACTCTAACAGTGATTAGTTGACATCATCACAGAAATTCAGATACACAGTTTTGGGAAACTACTGCTGCTTTTTTTTTTTAATTAAATAGTTAAATTCATTTTATGTGAAGAAGAGTTACTATAAATAAAATACAATTCCTTATTTTATAAATTGTAGGTAAAAATTCTGGTTCTGTACAATTATAGTCTCATTTCTTCTTACTCTAACAGTGATTAGTTGACATCATCACAGAAATTTAGATACACAGTTTTGGGAAACTACTGCTGTTTTTTTTTTTTTAATAAAAAAAAACTATACATTTGATTTGGTGAATTAATTATTAGATATCCTCAAGCAGGTTCCAAAATATTATAGACTAACATTTTTCAAAGATTTAAGATATTTAAATAAGAAAATTTCTAAAGTAAAAACAGATTGATGATTGTTGGGTATATTTTCTTTTATCCAGAAATTAAAGATTGACATGAATCTTGCTGTTCCAAATTATTTTGTTTTCAGTGCAATAATTACTGAGCTAAGTAGAAATGAGATAAAGACCAGTGCATTATCTAGTAATTACTACTTTCATTGTAGTTCTCCTTAAAAGAAAATAAATGTATGTCACCTTCTAATGAAGACTAGAGATCTGGAGAAGTCAGAATAGCCTCTGGGCTCATTATTTTAAATTGTTTTTGTCTTTGTAGCTGTAGCATATTTTTATACTGTTTTAGATAATTGGATTGAAATGATCCTTTATGAAAAATATATGATACTCACCATAATAGGATATTTTCAAATCCTTAAAGACTTCTTATATTCTCTTTTATTTGAACCTATTAGTGGAAATGTAATTGATGATCTTTGACAAAGAAAATAAGAGTCCTAATAAAAATTAAATAGAATTAGAATTTGAAGGAGAACTGTTTTCTTGTTGTGAATCTTTATTAAAAGCAAGAATTTAAGTCATAGTTAAAGACACATATTTAGTGCTTGATTTTGGTTTTTTCTTTTTTTTTTTTTTTTTTTTTAAACAAGGCTGTACATTCATATTATAGTCCTTGAGAAGTGGTTCTCAAATGGGGGTCGATTTGACAATATCTGGTGACATTTTTGATTGTCATAACTGGATTAGGGAGAGCTGTTAGTGAGGAAGGCCAGGAATACTGCTAAACATCCTACAATGCAGAGGACAGCCCCCCACAATACAGTATTATTAGACCAAATGTTAATAGAATTACTGTTGAAAAACCCTGTCCTAGAGGAAATACAGTAGAATATATTTTCCCAAACTTGTCTGATCATAAAAATTACCTGAGGGAGGAGGAGAGTGCTTGTTACAAACATAGCTCCAGGATCTACCTGGACCTACTGAATCAGATACTTCGGGAACGAAGCCTAGGAATTCCTTTTTCAGACAATTCCTTTTTGCTGCCCATGAATTGTATAGCTAAACAACTTTGGAAAAACAGTAGGTGGAATAGACTAGAGTTTTAGCTCCCTGGTCCTAGTTTAAGTCCTGGCTCCTATACACTGTGGGCTGTGACCTTGAGTATACTCTTGACTTTATAAAATTGTGTTGAGTCTTTTAGTACCTGCTAGAGTGGTTGCAGGACTTTGGGAAGAGATATGGGAGCAAGCATACTGTCAACCTGAGGGCATTGTTTTGTTACTTACATGGATCTCTCTGCATTAGCATCATTAGCATGCTACTCTTTGAGCCCTACTCCTAGCTTTTCATTAAAATACCTAAAGGTAGAGTCCAGGGACTGGCATTTTTAAAAAACATTTTGGATAGATTTTCAACAGACTGATTTAAAGAACTTTCGTTTCAGATTACTGTAATGGTCATAATTGAATCTTTCCTAGCATGAATTTTGGGATAATGTAACCTCTATCTTTTTGTCAGTATTTTTTTCCAGAGCACATGGTGTCTTTTGCAACTGAAACCAATGGTGAAATATCCCCTACGCAGATTTTGCAGGTAAAATATATTTTCATTAAAGTATGTAAGTAATAACATAATAAAGGGAAACTTTAAGGTTGATACTTATAAATGCCCAGATTTTGAAATGTTATGCCTTGAATGATTAAGTTTTGCTGGAGGTAAAACCAAACAGAAAAGAATAGGAAAGAAAAGAAAAGAGCAAAATCTGGATAAAGAATTCCCTAAATTAATAAGGCCCTCTAGCAATATGATTATTCCCAGTTTTGGCCAATTGTCAAAAGATTTTAAACGTTTAAAAAATGTGTATCAAGAAAGGAAACTCGCAGAGTTTTGCTCTGTGATGGGTTTAAAGTTAGTCTTTTGAAAAATCAAAATTCCCAGTAAATTGTAGACATTTTACTAACATATATTTAGTATTAACTTTTATAAGAAATGCTTTCAGTCTTGTGATAAAATATTTAGCAATTAAATGAAAGGAGAAAAAGATATAGAATATATCTATTTCATACACTAACATTTGTAATAGCTATGATAGCAATACTTGAGTAGAATTGTAAAATATCTTAGCTGAATTAAGAGTACCGGTTATTTAATTAAAAATCTCCTTAGTTTGCATTTATTGGGCTCATTTCTTCCAAACTGGAAGTAGCGTTAGGTGATCATATTCCAAGTCATTTTCATTGCAGTAAAAGAATTTTAGTTATTTTGCTTTATTTTTTGATAGATTAGTAGATTTTACATCAGAAGCTCTATAGTTGTTACCTTTATATATCTTTATAATGTTGGGCAGTATCTTTAGAATGGTTGCTGTTTGATCTAAGTCCTAGGCATCGCCAAACTAACTCAATATTCTTTGATCTTTAATGAAGAAACCTTTTAATATTTTCTTTTTAAAAATACTTTCAATATAGATATTACTTTACATATGTTGGTATATAAATATATTGGTAAATATATTGAGTATCACAGATTTGTTTTCTGTGGGCTTTTTAGTAGGTTATATTTCATTTTTGTACTTCAGAATTTTTTAATAAATTTGATTATCTCAAGAGATTTTTTAAAAAGCTATTTATATGGTACTGGGTTTTCAGAGATATCCCATCAGCATATTAGGGTAAATAACAGCAGCCGTGCCCAGCACCCCAGCTCTAGGCCTTCTAATTGCTTCTCCACTAGAGTATGACAGGGTGCTGGGTTGGAGTTTTTCTTCTGCCTCCTTTTCGATTCTTCTATAATAGTTATATTACTTTAGTTATATTACTTTAATATTAAATTATAATAAAAAGAAAGAAAAGCCATAGCTTTGGAATCAGATAGTCCTGCATGTGCCCCTGACCTCTTTTTTCCATTGAGGCAATGTTTCCAGTTTTTAAAATGTTTCTTCTTTTTCTAGTATGACCTCTATGACTCCCTTTTTAAAATTTAATTGGTTTGGTTTAATAACTTGGAAAGCACTCAGACTAAAAAACCTTCTTGCCTGTTTTGCATGTCAATTAATTAATATCGGTGGCTCATTAAGTTAAAATTGTTTTTAGTAATTTACTTAAAAAACCATAAATATCCACTATGAGCATTTCCCTGAATAGCCTTTTAAAATATGTTGCATTGTTTTAGCTAATAATTTCTTTTACTTTCAGTTTTTCCATTTTGCGTTTGTTTATTCATAGGGATTTATATATTTTCTTCTTTTAATGAGATGCTAATGCATTTTTACTGTCTTATTAAGGATGCTTAGCACAGCTACTCAAAATTATTTCTTTTCATTCTTGTTTTTCTGACTAACACATGTCTCAGTTAATTATTATTGTGTAACAAACTATTCTGAACCATAATAACTTAAGTACTTGCTCATATTTTGCCTGCAATTTTGTGAGTCAAGAATTTGGGAAGGGTTTAGCTGGGTGGGTCACCTCCGAGACACAGTGACTCACAGAGGGACTGAAGAACCCCTTATAAGATGGCTGTTCAACTCACAGAGGGACTGGAGAACCCCTTATAAGTTGGCTTTTCATTACACGTGCCTGGTACTCCTTGGCCTATCTGTCTCTCCATGTGGTGTCTCAGCCTCCAAAGCTTTCCTAGTTACACTGGGCTTCTCATCACATAGCTATCTCAGGGTATTCATATTTCTTATGTGACAGCTAGCTTCCAAGAGTTAAGATGTAGAAGCCATCAGGCTAGTTAAAGACTGTAATTTTAGAAGTGGCTAACTGTCACTTCTGCCATATTCTATTGGTGAAAGCAGCCACAGCCTTGGCCAGATTCAAGTGGGGTGGAGAAACAGACTCCACCTCTTTTCCATTCGGGGCCAAGATCGCTTTGCAGAAAAAGACATGGGGCTGAAGGTTTTGTTGTAATTCTCTTTGGAAAACACAACTTGCCATACTTACTCATAACTGAGAGCCATAGTATACAAAGAAGAGATTGTTTGCTTTACTCTTATCAAGGAGGGTGAACGTGGCTTCAATCTCTTATTAATTTTTAGGATTGTGGTCTTACACCATATGAAGCTGAGGTTGGTGGGTTCTCAGTGAAAATCATAGAAAAGGATGAAAAATATCAGGACTTTGTAGATGAAACCCAGCATTTCAGATGGACGTTCAAATAGCTTACAATTTTGGTATTTGACTCAGTACTGATGACTTAGAATGTATATTTTGTGAAAGTATTTTCATTTGGAATTTGCCTCATGTTACTAAAAAAACTGATTTATTTTCTGCTGTATACCTGTTGTCATTTCTGTAGTGGTATATATAATTGGTATTGATACTGTTAGATTTTACATGTTCGTATTTGAAATCTTAACATGATTAGTATAAGGCTATAATCTAATTGATTCAAAAACAGTATGAGAGTGTCTGATTTTTCTTCCAGATATTTCTGAGTTCAAACACATATCCTGAAATCCATGGCTTCTTACATGCAAAAGAACAGGGAAAGAAGTCCTGGAAAAAGATTTACTTCCTTCTAAGAAGATCTGGTTTATATTTTTCTACTAAAGGGACATCAAAGGTAATGGAAAATATCAACGATGTGTTATGAGTCATAAATAAGTTGTAAGTTAAAATGAGTTTTACTTTCTTTTACTTATTACCTTTATTGATCTCAGGAGTTGGTAATTTTCTTTTTTGGACTCCAAAGATTTGCCATAATCTGTTGAAAAACTAACTATTCAGCTTTATTTCCCACTAGTTCGAAATACATTCCTTGTTGGAATCTAGATGTCCTTATTTCAGTACCACATACTCTGCTCATCTCTTCACTCTGAATTCACCTTTCTTTTTAACCTAGGGTACAAATTTTGAGGCCTAATATAATTCACAGTTTTTCTTTTTACCCTAGGTCATACTACTGATCTTGCTCACTTCTGAACATCTATTGATGTTGATGCCGTTAGTAATACTTAGCCGAGTCCAATTGCTCTTCAATTCCTTTGTGTATGTTAGTTTTGTCTCTTTAGCTAGATTGTAAATTTCTAGAAGAAGTCATGTTGTGACTGGGCTGGATATGTTTATTTGCATGTTTGTGTATGTATATCTATGTATACAGTTACATAGAAGTACATGTGCAGGTGTCTATACACCCGTACATAATCACTTATGCACGTAATTCCCACAGTGCTCAGCACTATGCATCCTGTGTTTCTTTGTAGTCTGGTTGATGTAGACTATGCCATATGGTCTGTGTTTTATAAGTGTTGACATTTTATGCAATGCATTGATACCTTTCAAGTAAAACTACTTTTGAGAATTTTCATGAGGGCTTATTTTAACTCTATTTTCATGCATCTGTTGTCAGTGACAGCATTGTTGATTCTTTATGGGTAATTTGTCGTTTTTCTCTGGTTGTTTTTCAAATATTATTATAATCATTGTTGTTTGGTAATTTCCCTGGCATATTTCTAGTAGATTCAAAATATCCTGCTAAAACTTGTTGCTTCTCAACATATGCCTTCAAACTTTAAATTCCTATTTTTCTTTTATGCTGGAAATGTTCATCCATTATTTATTTCTCATTCTCATTATTTGATCCTTTAAATTTTCAAGAGGATCAGCTGTCTTGGCTAGTTATGGCTCCATGTGCCCGTTTGCTTGTGGCTGCCTAACTCCAGTCTCTACCTCTGTTTTCACATAGCCTTCTCATTATTCTCTGTGTATCTCTTATATGGACACGTCATTGAGTTTAGGTCCTAACTGCATAATCTAAAATGATCTCATCTTGAAATTGTTAATTACATCTGCAAAGACCCTTTTTCCAAATCATGTCATAGTCACAGTTTCTCGGGGGTAAGGACATGGATATATCTTTTGGGGGACTATCATTCAACTCACTGTAGGAAGCAAGTGAAAAATTTTGAGCAAGAAAGTGAAATGATCAAGTTATAAGATTAGTATGGCAATAATGAGCTAAAAATATCAAGTGGAGGGAGAGAGAGAGAGAAAAAGAGTGAGGAGGGAACAAGCGAGGCAGGGAGTGCGGGAGAGGGAAGTGGAGAGATGCAGGGGGAGATGAGAAGCATAGATGATAATTAGATGATGATAATTAGATGATAATTTCAGTAATGCAGAGTGGAGGTGATGGGATCTAACCTGGGATGAGCAGTAGAGGGAGAAGAAAGTGATGGATGTCAGATTAAATGGCAAAGGGCCAGGATGTCAGATTGATATGTGAGAAGAGGAAAGCATTTAAAAATGTTCTTGGAAGGAAGGAAGGAAGGAAGGAAGGAAGGAAGGAAGGAAGGAAGGAAGGAAGGAAGGAAGGAAAAAGAAAATGATTTACTAGAATAAACAGGAATAGAAGATTTGCTAGAAGATCATTATTTTAGAAGTAAGATACTAATGATCTTAGTTCTACATATATTGGGTTGAGAGTGAAGCATCTAAATAGAAATGCCTGGAACACAGTTAATGATGGGGACAGGTATTTGGGTGGTTGTCCTAAAGGACCTAACAGAAGCTGCAAAGGAATAATATTTGACTCTTTTCCATATTTTCCCCAACTTGCATAGTTTCCACCTTTCCCTTGTATATAGTTTTCTTCGTTGCTGTTTATGCATGCGTGCACAAATGTGTATGTGTATTTTTTTTGTTTTTGTTTTTTGATTTGTAAGTGGTTGAATGCTTCTGAAATGGGGCTTTACTCATTTAGTAACCCATCCTCTTACAGAAATCTTTTACTTTAAGTATATATTGTTTGACGGCTAGTATTTTATCATATAGATGCATTTAACTAATTATTCATGAACATTTAATGTAGTTTTCAAATTTTTATATCATATTGTTAGGTTGAAGAATTACTCATTTTTGTGCTTAAGGTTTTAGGCTTTTTTGTGACCACTTTAATAAGCTTCATTTTTTCCCAATGTTCCTAGTATATGAAGTTACATATAAGGTGTTTTTTTGAGCAAATGTGTTCTAGATCATCTTTTTGCTTTTGAAATGAGAGAAAAGTAGCTTCTAAATTCAGTAATCATGTTTATCTCACTGTTTTTTCAGTGCTTCTTCACTGGAGAATATGATATTGTCTCTTTAATTCCTAAATTCTTACTTCTTCAACAGGTTTCTTATTAAAATCAATTGCCCGTTCTATTTTACTTCCCCTTCCACCCATTATACAACACAACTCTTTTTTCTTCTAGTAGATCCATGCTTTTATCTATACAATGGTCATCTTTTTGGCTAGGCAAGATTCTAAGCATCAAATCTCCATTCAGTCCAGACCTTACATCTTTCCAACACAGGGTCTTATTTTGCTGTACATCAGTACATAATATTCTTTTTTTTTTTAGACTGTATCTAATGAGCTCATGTTCAATAGTTTATACATGAAAATGATTTTAACTTCCCCTCAAAAAGAAATTTGAGATATTAGGTAACCTCAAGAATTATGACCTATACAAATTATGTAGGTTATCTAATGTCTAATATTGACATTTCTACCTGACAAGGAGACCATTTCCTGTTTTTTTAATGTTTTTTGTTGTTGTTGTTTTGTTTTGTTTAGTTTTGTTTTCCTCTGAGAAGGGTCTCAATTTATTTTACTTTCTAAAGGTGTAGGCTGCATGGAAATTAGATAACCATTGCTGCAAGCCTTGAAGATGTGGCTGTGACTTACATTTACAGAAAGACATCTAAGTACCCTCTTCTCCAGCTACCCCCTGATGTAAACATATGTTTGCATAACTATTGCTAAACATACCAACTTGTAGCCTTATAGACTTATAGTGTCATAAGCCTCGATATATCTGCAGTAATAAATCTAAGAGCAATCAAGAGAGGACACATCATGCCTTTGTGGCCTTCCAGTGTTTCTTGAGCCACCTTTTTCCTGAAATTCAAATGACTCAGTTACATTGACTTCTACAATATTAGTGGACATGGTTGGTTTTATTCCATCTTGATAGAAATAAGATATTTTTAGTAGCAAATCACTTTCTATCAAGGAATGAAGTTTTAAAGGCCATGCCAAAAAGAGTATCTTTCTCCTTCTTCCTCCCTTATTCTATGGGCCCTAGCCTGGGTCTTTTTTAGCAATTTTGTTTTCTGTCTTATTCTTTCATGGAGTTGAGAACTATATTTAATCATTACATCAAAATGCCTAAGAACATTGACACACACAGAAATAGTGACGTACGTAGAAACTCTTACTCTACCAGTCATCAGAGAGTAGCCTGCTGGTAAATGACTGAAATTTCTCTGGATTTGAATTTGAATGGGTTACTCAAGTTTCTGAATGTTGTTTATAT